AAGAGCTCATTAAGATGCAAAGTACTGTAACAGATCAAGGTTTCTTGCATGCTGAAAGGCAAAGAATAGAAACACAACATTTTGGCTTTGGAGCCTTCTTCTGGTGTGAAGAACAGAGGGAAAGTAGTAATACAGCACAGGAGAACAAAAGATAGAGTAGGTAAGAAGGGGTGGAAAGCAGTAGGGAAAGGAGAATAAATCAAAATATGCAAATTAGAAAGAGATGAACCTGTTGTTGAGAGATGGGGGAAGATGTGATCCAAGTTTCAGGATAATTTTGGTTTTGAATGTCTTTCTGCAATTGGAATTCTGAAACCCCTCTGTGAGGATAGAGGCAGGTGTACTTCTTTTCTTTACCTTTCATCATGGAATGAACATTTACCTGTTCCTTCACTGCTCACATATGCTTAAACATGCTAGCAGAATGATAACATAAGGTGAACACTCAGGATTTTCTGTAAACACATTCAGGTGTATGTCTCCAGTATGATGCTGAATCTAAAATGGGTTATGTGAATTAAATGTTACTTGACAATGAAATAAGAAACAGATTTTCTAGTTCAGTTATTAAATTCATTTTAAACTGCAAATTACAGGAAAACCTACCGATATGGTACTTTTAAAAATAGACCATTTACTATGACATTAGGAAAGTTCATTCATTCGCAGGTTTAAAGACTTCACCGAATTCTTATTTCAAAGAAAATAAGCAGTCATATTTCTCTAAGGAGCTGCTCTTTGCATTAAGCCAACATTAAGCTGCTGTAATCCTTTTTTAGGAACCTCGTGCATTTTTTTCAGTTAAGGTGAATGAATTCTGCTGCAAGTTTATTTAAAATGGATGTGAGTAATAATTTACTAGCAGCTGTCTCTGGTACAGTATGTTTTAAAATAAGGACATCACAAATTCAAGAGACCTGGAAGTTCAACTTGAAAACTAACCCAAACAAATAAATCATTGCCACAGTAAAGCCAGTCTAAAACAAATATGAGCATTGTTTTGAACTTCAATTGTTGTTCATATTCTCCATGAACTTCAGATGTTCCAGATGTTGTAACATTAATTTACTGTATTTCCTAAACAAACAATATGCTAAAATACACTTCACAAATGAACTTACCACACATGTACAAAACACAAAAATGTAACATTTGTGCTTAGTCTTTGGAAATAAAGGAATATTCTCAGTGCAAACATTGAGATCAAATATGTTTTCTTTAACATTTTATATCCTAGATATCCTGGTTATACAACGCAATAACACATGATGTTATATTGATTATGATAGAGGTCTAAACGTTTGCTCCAATAACTTAACATAAATCAGGATTAAATCAACAAAGGCTCCATATAATTTACTGAACATCAGAAGAGACCTATCACTATAACTCCAAAATATTCCCCAAATATTTTTGTAATAGGTGCACTGACATTTAAAAGAGAAAGCATGACATACTGTAAATTAATCAATTTTGCTGATTTACATTTACAGAGTTGATCTATTTTGAAAGTGATAGGCTCCTATTGGTTTGAAGCTAAAGAAGAAACAGCCATGCCTAACATGTGCTGGGGCCTAACATGCAAAGCTCACCAAACGTGGTGGGGCCACTAAAAAAATGGCCTTAACAAGTGTATGACCCTCCTTGTTATTGTTATGGCTACAGGCTACAGAATATTAAGTGACTTTTTCACTGTTCATTTTTGTAAAGCATAATCGGAATACCCCCCATTTTGCAATATATTCAGTATGCAAAGTAGTACAAAATAATTATTTTGTTGGTATAAAGTGGTTATAATCATTAATTTCAAATTGTGATTAAACCAGGATTATATCAAAACCTTTCCTTTCCCACTAATTGCAAATTCCAAATTGTAACAGAAAACAGATATTTTTCTTAAAAGCACCTGAACTTCAGATATTTCTCAATGTGTTAACTTGCCATTAGAAAATGATCTGTACAGTATGTCTCCTTTCCATTCAGAGCTTTGGAAAAATCATGTTTGAGTGTGAGTTTTCTTCATTTGATGTTGACATTAATGGATTTGAAAAGGGCTTATTAATTTATTTTCTACCATCATTTCCAAAACAAAGCTCTTAAATATAACAGTAGGATTTCAAGTCAATTTTCTTTTCATATTGCCTATGCAGTTTTGTTTGGGTCTTACATGGATCTAGATTTGAAATTTCATTGAGATGAAGACTTTATGATTGCTAATATAAACTAACCACTTTGCCCCTGTCAGCACAAATGCTTTATCTTCAGGGCTGTAGAAATAAGGGTTTCATACAATTTGCAAAACATTATTAGAGATTAACTGCTTTGGTTACATCATTAAACACTTGAGAGCTTCAGTTTATAAATCTACAGTATTATGACAGGATCGAGAAGTAACACATTCATTTTCTAGTACATTATTTGAAAAGAAATCTCATTCATACACAGTAAACACAGGATGATAAACATATTCATGTTAAGGGTGTATGCTAATTCTGTATACTGTATATGTTTTGTTTTTAAAGATTATTTTCTATGTATAAAACCTTTGATCTGATTAATTCATACATATTATATATAAAAAATATATGTATATCATTCTGGAGAAGAATTCCTGCCTGCATTTGATCACATCTACTACTTTTTAAGGATATATACAGCCCATTTACGATTAATGATACTCTCCTTATTTGGAACTTTTGACAGATTTGCTACTCTAAAATTTCAGCATATTTTTCTCTTAAGGCCATTCTGAAGAAAAAAAACCCCAATGTATTTTAGAGAGAAAGAAGGGATCACAAGAACATTTACAGACAATCTATTAATGTCAAGCTGTCTTGTGAGTAAATAAAATCAGGCATTTAGAACCTCAAAAAATATATCTTCAGCTGGACAAAAAGAAGATTTTAAATATCAGTGATTTCAGTCTGTCTGAGCAATGGCAATATTGTCCAACCAAATGAAATGATGTGCGTATTCTTTGATTTAAAATCAAACTGCCATTACCAAAGCCAATATATTTTTTGTCCAACTAATTCATGCAAGACATAATAATAACTGAAAATAATTTTCAGCAAAAGACAATACAGTTATCTCAATCCAAACTAAATACCACATGAGCCAACTGGAGTTTCATTAAACTTTGAAGTTTTTTCAAATTCATGTATTATTAATTTAGCAAAAGGCTAAAAGACTTCATTAGAAAAGGGAAACATTTTCCAAATCTGCATCAAACTGCAAACCAGAGATACTGAGGAAAAAATAATAATTCTTAAAGGGAAAATTATTTCTTAAACTGAATCTTTGTTATCCTTTGGCATCAGATATTCTTTTCAATGCCATAATGTCTGTTCTTCTTTGCTGGAGGCTTCTAAGTATTAGATTTACTATTGTATAACTCCAGTTTCTGAAGTCGATGAAATATGTTTCAAATTGTTCTTAGGTAGACACTAGATTGTTGTCTGGCAGGATCAAATAATCTGTTTAGTAAAAAAAATAACTGTTACTTTAAAATAAACTGTCTTTCTTTAGATTGAGAATACAAAACAGCTGAAATTACACTAACAAAGGCATCAGTTGTATGAAAATCCACATAATGATAGCTTGTCATTTGTAGGATCCCTCCAAACATTACAGTGAGTTTGTACAAATTATAGCTAGCTTGCTTCCACTTCAAGTACACATAAAAATAATTTGATTGTCAATTATGAAGTCAAATTCTTTTTTGCTCCTTGTCACGGATTCCTCTAGGTATGTGTTACAGCTGTATGTAACTAATTCTATAACATTGACAGCAAAGCAAATCGATCGATCTGTCTTCAAAGGGTATATAGTAGCTGGATTCTGTGTAACTGTCTCATCCTTCAACTTGACCTCCTAAATTGGCCAACATATCCATCAGATTTCCAGATGCTCCTGGAAAGACAGTATTTTCAGAACTCTGTGATAGGATTGCAGAGGTCCAGCCCTATGCCGCTGGAGATTAATGTCACACCTGTTTCAAATTCAACAGTGTTGTATGACTGTGAACTTCATGGTAGGGGTCTCTGCAACAGGTCGCCCATGTGTTCAAATTTGTGAACCATGAATAGCAATTTTTCTGGCATACCTGATCAGCACATAGTGAAAAGGAAATCAGTGGTATAAGGAGTACAATAGTGGGAGGAAGTGTTTCACCTTATTTGCTACAAACATTCAGATAAGTTGGATTTAGCAGGGCAACATCTTTAATTTACTGTATATGACATACAATCTTTTTCAAAAAATATTATTGGAGAAAAAGTGTTAGGACACCTTTTATACATTATGTGAATATACAGTACATGTAAAATTAAAAAGTAAAGTAGCTTGTGTTTTGCAATGTTCAAAATAAATATGAAATATTCGTAAAATAGGAAAAGTGGAACTGGCTGAGTAATTATTGTAGACACTTGGTTAAAGGTATGCTCTTTCTGTGTAATCCAAGACTTTGTCACACTGTTAAAGCAGTTTTTCCATTTTTCCTTAATCCATGGGGATGTATGATGTCATGGACCAATGCTGAAGAATAGTTTTTTCAAGTAAAACCATATGGATTAACAACTTTGGTACAGAAACATAAGGGCTTAGCACAAAAAAGGGAATTGTATTTTTCTCTTAAGCCCTTAAGATATGGAGATATGTGTTATACTGCATATCTCCATTTTTGGCTTTTTAATTTACCAACTTTAATCCTAATTCCTTCATTGCAGAGAGCATAGGAAAGAATAAATCTTACTCACATAAAACTGAAGAATTTGGAGGTTCTGGTGTATCAAAAAAACAACTTTCATAAGAGAAAAGTAATGTTGTCCATCAAATCATGTATACGCCTTTGATTTGTGCAAATGATTTTCATATGGCAAATGCAAAGGATTTTGTGGTTGACAGTCATTTTCTTTTAAATACTAGAGAGTCAACAACAAAGGTCTCATTTTATACAGAACAAATTTCACAAGGAACACAACTTCACAAGGACAACTTACCTGCTATGCAGAGGCCAAAAATACTGAGAAGAACAAGAATATACAGTGACAGGATGGCATATTTGATAGCTGATAATGAATTCAGATGAGAACAGCAATGATCAGGTTTTCTCCTCCTTTTGGCTGAGCTGACTACAAAACAAAGAAGTGAAATGCTTATTAGAAGAATAAACTTAAGAACACAAAAAAGTTTACAAATGAGAGAAGGCCATTTGGCCTATTCTTTACCCATTTTGTAGTTAGTAGTTAATTGATCTGAGAATCTCAGCCATCTGACTTGAACAACATC